TTCATTTTGTAATGATATCTTTAATTCTCTAATTTTGGTGAATATTTTTGTCATTTTTTGGTGAAAAGTGATATTTTCGACTTCTTGTTAAAAACCGCAAGTCCAATTGCTTTGATACTACATATATAGGTACTACATGTGGACCTCTCTCAGATTTGTTTATTTCGTGATGATATCTTCAATTCTCTAATTTTGGTGAATATTTTTGTCATTTTTGGTAAAAAGTGATATTTTTGACTTCTTGTTAAAAACCGCAAGTCCAATTGCTTTGATATTACATATATAGGTACTACATGTGGACCTCTCTCAGATTTGTTCATTTTGTGATGATATCTTCAATTCTCTAATTTTGGTGAATATTTTTGTCATTTTTGGTAAAAAGTGATATTTTCGACTTCTTGTTGAAAACTGTAAGTCTGATTGCTTTGATATTACATATATAGGTACTACATGTGGACCTCTCTCAGATTTGTTCGTTTTGTGATGATATCTTCAATTCTCTAATTAATTTATTTTGGTGAATATTTTTGTAATTTTTGGTAAAAAGTGATATTTTCGACTTCTTGTTAAAAACTGTAAGTCCGATTGCTTTGATACTATTCATATTGTTCATTTTCTAATGATGTCTTCAGTTCTTTAATTGAAATGTGCATTGCTAACAGCGGAGCTATCTCAGCCGATAGGCTGCTTGTTTTTATATTGATACATCATTATTGTTGTCTTAAAGTTGTCCTCATATTGTTCTCTGCCTCTGTATCTGCGACGCGAACCAGAATATAAAGTTCATGGCACGGTATACGGCTATTTGTTGTTCAATAAAAAAATATTTAATTTGTTATGCGAAAATAAAATATGTTTTTATGTTCAACGTCAGGATATTTCAGGGTTGCCAGTTTTGAGGCATGTCAACGCTATCGATGTTTCAAAGAGCAGCGATCGCCGCGCAGTGCGCGTTCGGGTGTCGTGTGAATAAACTACGTATCTCACGCGCGTTGTATACGCCGCGTGGTACTCCTATTGAACACGACGTGGCGCGCAGCAACCGCCGTCCTTTAAAGCGCGGTGATCGTCGCGCAGCGCGTGTTTGAATTTCATGTAAATAAACAATGTATTTTACACGCGTTGTAGATATTATTTGCGGATATTGATGACAATGTACTGAATATATTACTTTACGAGTTATAATCGCAGAAACACGGCACTCATCTTTCATAAATAACTCATGTCCTTCATGCGTTGATGATACGATTAATGACTCAATCGAATCCTCTGGGTGTTTTTTTGCACTGAATCTAGTCCGTATTATTTTGGTGTTAAAGTAGATAGCGAATGTACATAACATTAATTCAGCCAGGGCACTATTTAATATGTAACTCAATCTGGCATTCCGGATATGTTTAATACAGCTTGTGAAGCGCGTTCTGTTGTATAAAATCATTCACGTATTGAAATGTTCATAATTTGTTTGAACTAATAGTTTTTTTTCCTCGTGAAATTAACTATATGTATATTCAGGCGGGAGGGTTGTCCCCTGCGCACGCGCGGGAATTGAGTCCCAAGCAGCAACAACAACAACAACACACACTAAAACGCAAAGGCTCATGGGTAGACGCTTGTTTGTAAACAATGACACGCTATGGCCATCTGACGCATGCGCAGGCGACGACTCCCCGTTTTAAGTATATGTAACACAACATTAGAATGAAATGCTTACGCTATGAAGTTTTTTTTTTTTACGAATTATGGGTTTTCGATATTTATATAATTATATATATACGTATATATATGTTGTTTATGATTTCATTCCTTGGATGCCAGTGTGCATAGCGGTTACTCAAAGTATCTCAATGGTATACATAGTATATAACATACTCTGTTAAATGTGTGCTGTGTGAAAACAGCGAGTGTAACGTTTTGATGTTCGTATGTGCATTTTCGTTTTGAGTTGCAAGAATTATTCGTGTAACACTACGATAAAAATATTCCGTTTTCGACATTGTGAAATTCTTTCGTTTTGGGGGGAGAAAAAAAAACCTTGAAAAAACTTATTTTGACATTATAATTCTGAAATATATTAAGAATAGTTCACAACGAAATATATTCCTCTATGCACGCATAAACAATTTCAATAATTATCAATTACAACAGAATATTACAGAAAAAGGAAGATAATTTGCTATATTCTCAATATTTTTGCCTTTTATTTGTCTTGAATTATGACTGAAAGAAGCTGAATGAAATTACAAACTATGTAGTATGTTCAGCAACTCATGTATGAACAATAATTCTAAGAAATATGATTTTACTGTATTTTTCTGCATAAAAACGAAAGTCTTCATCTCAGTGTTAGGCTACGTTATTCTTGCTGGATATACTAATTGGTTAGAATATAATATACGAATTCGAAGACATCTTTAGAATGTACGCTATTTAGAGCCCACTACAGAATCTACTGTAAAACATATCTTTTTCGCGAGCGTGTCTTTTTAGCGAATTCGCTAATTCAAGATGTCGCTAATGAATTTATTATACATTAAAAATGGAAAAGGCTTGGGGATTTGTATACAGTAATCCGGAACATAAAAATCTGGGGCGCTTCCTAATTAAATTACCCTTGACAGTTTTACTTTGTTTTTATGGAGATGATAACTGCGCATTTGTTTTTGCATGCGACATACAAGTATTGTGAAAACAGGAAATCAACAATTACAAGAGAGATTCGTTAAATCAACATTTCGCTATTACGTCATTTTACCACAATTCGCTAAAATTGCATGTCGCTTTTTCAACATGTTTTACAGTAGTTAGTTTTCCAGGACTACAAACATTTGTCACAAAATAAAAGATATTTATTTTTTTTAAATTTAAAAACATATTTCTAGTTGGCATTTATGCTCATAAATTACGAAAATATTGTGGAAAAATACATAAAAATGTGCAAAGTGTTGACCAAAAAAATTGCATCGCAATACAAATAAATTCTAGGGCTGTCATGCATTTTGTCTAAGCAACATCCGGGTTTTAGACGTAAACAAAAAACAAATAGGTGACATGACCCGGGCCTAACACATAGCATATCTTGATGTATCACTCCCTATAGTGCCATAATTAGATTTATTACAAATATCGGGTTGCCAACGACATGTTTATCGTGAACATTTGAAAAGAACAGTTCAAAATTCAATAATAGAACCTACAATTTCTGCTCTCAACTTTTTCGTCTGATACATGCTGTGTGTTCGATTCATCGCGTGGGCAATGGATATGAGTTAGCATGGATATTCTTTTTTTGTCTTCAATGTTTTAGGGTTGGGTTACGTTATGGGTTAAAGTGGAGGGGTCGTCTCCTGCGCACGCGTGGGAATGGAGTCCTAAGCGACGAAGACAAATCACGCTAAAACGCAAGAAATCATGGGTAGACGCTTGTTTGTGTTGCATGCGCAGGTGATGACACCTCCATCTGTTGAGTTGTATAAAATGGGCGCCGAATGAAAACTGGCGTTAGCTATTTGTGCGGAAGCCCATGTAGTCCTTGGACTAGTTTGTTCCTGCGCAAATCTTATCCGTCTGGTTGGGTGGTTGACGAGAAATGCTCTTTTTAAAGCTCGATGGGGAATATGGTTGATGGTAAATTGGTTTAGATTTCAAGGGTCCATCCCAGTGAGAATTCGAGTAATTGATACAAAGCACATTTCACGGAGGTAGCCTATATTGTGCAGCATGAATAGACTTCAATTTAGTTGCCATAGAAACGGCTGACGTCATTTTATGTTATCACTCAGAGACACTTTCCAATTCCCACGAACAACGGAAACACATATCCTACGAGTGTAGTAATAGCAGTACTCTAGATGGCATCAATTTCAAAATAATGTTATTGAAGGTCAATACTCTAGTTTATCAGCCCCAAACTTTTTACAAATGTCCACTGCAGCACGGGGTGAACCGAGGCGAAGTCGAAGATAGCACTATCAACTTAAGGGAAGAACGAGTAGCAAATAAGGGACTAAGTGCTCTCTGTTCATGAATATACATGATACATACTTGCATATAAATGAGGTTTTTTTTGATAACATATAATATTATTAAAGCAGGAGGGTCGTCACCTGCGCACGCGTGGGAATTGAGTCCCAAGCGACGATAACAACACACGCTAAAAACGCAAAGGCTCATGGGTAGACGCTTGTTTGTAAACAATGACACGCTACGGCCATCTGACGCATGCGCAAGTGACGACTCCCTTGCTTTAACAATCTTAATTTTTCTCATTCTTCAAAGGTGAAATCAGTAAAGATACAGTGTATTGAACTGATGTTGAAGAACCCCTCCCTGCACCCAAAGTGTATTTCAGAGGTAAGCAACTTAGCATTCCGTTCATATGGGTCAATATTAAAACACGCAATAACAGATTTCCTGTCAGATAAACCTGTTATATATTGAATGGAGTACCTGACGTCACTTAGAGCTTATTGTAAGATGGTTAAATGGCGTAAACAGGAAGTCTATTATTGTTTTCTATCGAGATACTATAATAGTATCGTGATGTATTGATGATGTGCATTGCATACTAGTACACGCATTCGCTAAGGTGACACAGCTGTCTAGGAAGGCGATGTAGATAACTTTAATTATTTTTTAGTCCGTTGTCAAGTATTTAATATTGATGAAAACATAATGGTATGATTTATCGTAAAATAAAAGAAACACACGTTGTTGTTGTAGCAAACAGCTGTACTCATTCAATGTAGTAATGCCAACGCTACTGCGCATGCGTTTCAAAATACCAGTGCGTACAGGTAAATCCATGACACAAGCACAACGTTTTTTTTTCTATTCCATCGACTACATTATAACAGTATCATACTTTGTTGTTTTCATGGAATATCAACCAATATTTTTTAAACATACTCAGAAATACATTAGAAACAAATAAATATATATCGATCCATTGCGGTATGTGGAGTGTTATCATGGCATTCATTATTATGGGGAGTTTTTGGAGAAATGATATTTCCAGGCTCTAGACAAGCTAGTGAGAAATTGAACGCCGATAACAAGGGTTCATCTAATGTGTCCCTGCATGAATTCTACAGTTTTGCACGAAATACCTCAAGGGTTACATCTACATGTATTCGTCTCATCGCTTCCAACGTCGCGCCGTGAGCAATTTGTAGATAATACCTGTTCTGTTGCTTTATCAAATTCTATTTTAGTGTCTAGGGTATCACCGAGATTCGCTACTCCGCCTTTCAGCTCACGTGGTAATCATATTTCTCTCTTGTTTTGGATTTCAGTTATTCCCAGATAGCGATGCCAAGAAACTATTGGACGATGTTAGGAATAAGTTACTGAAGAATGATGCCACAGAACAAGGTAGGTAGTCGACATCACATAATGGTGTATCGAACCTCATCGAATATAGTCTGTACAGTTCCAAGTAAGGCGTTCCATGATTGGATTTCCCGTTACATGTTAAAGTGACCAATAAGAGACAACCTTGCAAGTCATCACAAACAAAGTCAGATCCATTAATATTTCAAACGAATAACAATATTAATTAATAATTTTTTGACAGTTTTATAGTAATTGCCTATTTTATAATTAACAGTTAATAATTGAATAATTCCCATGTTCCTAATAAATGATGTTAATTCGAAAAAAAATAACAATAACTGATCGTATATTTGTTGGTATGAAAAAAGTACGTTGACCCTTAGAGGCATATACACATGTCGCTTCACTAGTTAAATTATGTAAATATCCTCTACAGTCATAAAGGTAGTTTGCAAAACGAAAATAACTGGTAAAATGCTTGGAGAAATAGAAGAAAAGTGAAATGAATTTACACAATTTCTAATGTAAAACTGCATATATTATTAAACATGAGTATTTTACGATGTGTTTATAAAACATTCTCTATGATTGGGCAGCCAACCAGGGACACTCTTATATTCTTAAACCGGAAGACAATCTTATCAGTTGAAGAGACAAATCTGATGTTACACGTGAGTTCAGACTTTACAATCTTTTCCAAGACGCCGTCAGATTAATCTGGCGTGTGTGTGGGCGGGTAATAATAATAATAATAATAATAATAATAATAATAATAATAATAATAATAATAATAATAATAATAATAATAAACAGCTTTTTGACAAGTAAAATTACTTAAACTGTATTGATAAACCATATTTTCGAACACCTTTGTGTAGGTTCCGAATGTCAATACATCAATTAAGAATTGAAGCAGAAAAGCGATTGAAAAATGAGAGATCAGAGCGTTTTTGTATTTTTTGTACTACAAACCAGGTTGAAGATGAATACCACTTCTGTTTAATTTGCCCTTTACAGTGTTTTCATCCAGTGTTACCGTTATACGTGATCTTTCACAATTTATTGTCTATGCTATGCAAAGACGAGACCTGAATTGTGATACGAGTTTTCTTGATTAGCCCTCATATGTGTAAATATATACTTTATATCTGATTTGTACTTAAAGGTACATGCAATGATCTTTAGAACGCACTCAAATTGTACTTAATTTGACTAATAAATTACTTGTCGTTGATTTCAGGAGATGACAGTTCTACAGACACGGATAGTGATGTGAGTAATAATTTCTATCAATGTGACCAAATGCGTGAAATAACAGACTTTCCTCTAAGTGTCACATTTTGTTTTGATGAAGTAAATAAAAAAATGACTCCTTACAACTTTCCACTATCGCCCTCTAGCGGCCAAACACTTCTATGACGAAAACATGGCATACATAGCATGTTATTCACACAACTATCGTTTTATGTATTCGTTCGCCATCTAGAATATAGTACATCTTTGAAAACTTTATTATTTTAATTGACGACGTACTACTACAGACAAAATATAATCGACGGTGTGAACGTTTCCCCTTAGCCAATTTACGTCATGGAATTGAGTTGTCGCTGGAGGGCGCCGTGATGGAAACGGACGATGCTCTCCGCATGGTGTAATTAACTTGAATATATATGCGTGGGAGTTGTGGTTATTAATAAATTATATATTCCTATTCTAATTACATCGCGCCACTCGAATGAGTCAATATTGACAGATTTTAATGTATGAAAGCAATAGGGAAATGATAAATTGACTTTAAAATTATAAGTTGACATCGTGATCGAGTAGTTTAATTGCAGACATATTATAATTAGCTGTATTGAGAGATTGTGGGTGCGGAGATGGAGCAGAGGGGTGTGTTTGCTACATTCACGTCATTAAGCTCGACTTTATACTTAGAGTACACCCTGTCATATAAGGGGTGGATAGATGTAATCTATTGTGGTTACTAGTATATATATATACGGTCTTCACACCGTTTACGTCACTCACAAACAATTATTCGCATGCGTTCTGAATTACCGGTACGTACCACTAATTCGGGTACAGGTACATTGGCACTGATTTTTATTTAAAGAGCGGCAGTCGTCGCGCTGCGCATGTGCGATATTTGTGTTGATAAACATTGATTTTCCCACAATCCAATGCGCTCTTCTAATGGAAATCACAAGTATGAGATTTGACCTAGGCGCCATTTGCATTACTTACCGTCAGTTACTCCTTCGATATTTTCAATCATCTAAAAATACCTAATTAAAGGTCCCAGTTTGTACTGATTGATCTGCGCAACAGTCAAAGTCGCCATCTTTGTCTATATGAGACCCATTAATCTCGGGCATGCGTGGCGCGACGAATACCACCCTTTAACCAAATCTCAGACTATTACTAGTCTGAGACCAAATGAATACATGTGATGTAAAGACAATGTTACTAACAAATCGAAATCCACCCAAAAAACTATCAACGTGCAATGTCAAGGGTGTAGCAGTAGGCTTTTAGCAATTGGTCGTTCTATCTAAATTTCACATTCAAGTCATAACTCGAGTTCGTCGCACATATTCAGTTGAGTCGAAGCATACATACAAGACATAATCGAAAATGGGTGTTAGAGTTGGGTAGCCAATCAGGATTAACCTTCTAAGTAGCTTTCCAAAGACTCTACATATCAAACTTCCAATCCACCCATACGATTCGAAATCTGAGTTGAAAAGACTCCATGTCTCGTCAGTGAAATGGCGCCCATTGTTTATATTATGGATTAACAGTAAGGTATTATTATTATTCTAATATAATAACCCAACAATTGTAATGGGAATTCGACCATCTCTCCTTGTTGTTTAATCTCCAAGTTACTTCAACCACCTCAGGGTTCTCGCGTGATATTAAAAAGTCTCATATATCATATTTTGATGAAATTGTCTGAAATATGTTTTTTTTTTTTTTTTATTTGGTCTTTAAAAGGTCATAAAATGGCAAAATAAAAGAATATTTAAATTCTCAAAAGTCTTCTATTGGCTTCTCTCGTTGCTACACGAGCCCGACCTCGGCAAATCAATGCATGTTTTCTGAATAGTTAAATAAAATTCCATGTTTTTTTTCGTAGCCGCTGTTTTGAAGTATTTCATGATTGCACTGATTTTAAGAAGCTTGGATTAGTCTGACATTCTTGGCAACCACAGTGCGCTAAGTCAGCACAGAACCCCTGCACAGATTCGGCAATTTACCACGCTGTAAATGACAACACTTGTCTCACGCTGAGAGCAAAAAACTAATTTATCAGATACAGGGGTCTTGGAGGTCTAAATGTGATAAATATCCAATCTGCTCTATTACGTGGCACTTACGTCATCTCTTTCAATGTTTGTTGTTATACCCTCTCCGTAGATCTGAACCTTGACCTCAATTTGTGATTGGGATTAGTTGGTGAGATGGAATGATAAATCAAGCTCGGTCTATTTTAAATTGCAAAGATGCTGATCATACTCGATGGATAATTGCGTAATTTACAAGCTGTGTTCTGTGGTTATCTATTAGAAGATTCTAGAAACTAACAACCTATCTTTTTAATATAAATCACAAAAAGTTGATTTCGTGTTCACATTGGTACAGAGATTCGCCATAATATAATATTGGTATTCATCAACTTCACGTGCTCGTTGTACCCTGTAACCCCATTCTACGGGATCACCAGTCATGAAACGAACATGTTTACTAGCAACAAATGCATTAGTGTGGGTATAAATGTGTGTATATCGCGAGATATACTCATGACTAGTTGAACCTTATTTGCATAACACCCTAGATTCATATCCTTGTCTAATTATCCTCGTTTTATTATCAGCAATAACACATTCAGCTATTATTTATCCTTTCCGTGACCCCGTGTGAACTTTTACGTCACTTTTCATATAAGGCGCGCCCCTAAGCGACCTAGCGCTTCCGTGACGTAATTGGGTACAATGGAGCAGGTCCTTCACAACCTCGATATCATATTGATCCGTAGCCGTCCGGCAATACATACACGGTTTTGAAAGATTTATGATTAACAACTAATAACCAATTATGTGAGAGATTAGAACAACATTGCTTTTAGTAGAATACGTCATTTTGACGTCACAGATGAGCCCATATGTAAATAGCACGTATAGAAAATACAAAAACTTCAAAATTTGAAAATTCAGCTGCCAGTAAAAACGTACATCGTCGACCCCTTCCCGGCGTATTGATGAGTAACTGGCACGTATGCGATGTGATTCACTAGGCCGAGGGCAAACGTCTTGTCTAGTCAGCGACAGTCGACAGAGACGACTGTATGTGACAACGCTGAAGGTCACAAGTTATACAGAAGTGCCGTCAATTCATCACGAAGTTTATAACGCAGACTTTAAAAAAACAGCAGGGAACAAAAAAATCTTGTTATGAACTCCGTCTAACCTTATAACGCACATTGTGAATGCAGAACAATCTCGTTCGTTGATTGATTCTCACGCCTACCTACCTTTTAGATTTACCGAACAGAAAATTACGGGCGAAGCGAAAAGTGGAATGAGAGGAACACCGATAACAATCAATTCAACGTCAATGTATTTGAAAACAAAACGAGACCTCTTTTGTTGTTAGTAACGATACCTGGGCCTCAATATATTAAACTGTAAACCAAATGTCGTCAATCACTCTCATAAATCATAATGTAACATTTCACTCTAAATCAGTTGTACATGATGCGCCAGTGAGTTTGGTGCCAGTATGACGCATGCATTTGTTTGTGGTATTTGAAAACAAATATTTAATTCGGACTGAATTATTTTTTTTATGAGTGAGTGGTTTCATATTAAACGACAGATGTAAATGGCGTATGGAGAGAAAATATTCCAAATATCTATATATAAACGTGACACGCTAAGCTGAATATGAGCCCTCGCAAAATTCACTCCAGACATTAATTACTTAAAATCTGTTCCAGGCGCGTCTCTGGACACCGTAATCACTGGCGGAGCATGCGCGGTGAAGACCGTTACGCATTCAATTTTTACTAGATTATTCCGACACCGCATGACCTTTCAAGACGAGAGCTGGTAATCGGAGCGGAATAAGCTACTGCATGTTTATGGCAATGTTGAAATGAACCAAATATAGTCGCACAAAATCACATGGGTCATAGGTCAAACATCGAAGTATTAAACACATACTATTAATCTACCTGCACGTGTAGTATACACAGCCTTGTTCCCACCTACTTATTACCACGCATATCATTAGTCACAAATTAAAGAGTGCATTCATAATATGACGTCATCATAAATACTTCGTGCTTCTGCATCCGACGCGCGTTTGTCAATAATTCGTAACTTTGAAATTGAATATAAATAAAGTCGGTTTTTACAAATTAGTTTTTAACATAAAAAAATGCAAGTTACTAGTAATCTCAGTTAATGTCTCTCATGGCGCATTTGTGATTTATCACTGAACTGGGACTTGATTTTCAATGATGTATTTGTCAAACTAATCTAAAAATAATATTGCCATACCCGTATATTATTTTTGAAGGTGATAACTTGTCAACATTTTAAAGAGTTTGTAAACATATTGTGTAGCCTTGCACAGTAATTCCAAGTAATGTGGCACAATGCCCATGTTGATTAAAATCACTATAGTTATCATTAATTCGTGAGGTCAAAATGGTAATTGATCTATTACAACCAGGAAAACTTGACTAAATATGTATGCCTTTGTTGTTTGCACAATTCATGTAACTAAATTCCATACATTTTCCTATGCATATTAAGTTGTGGTAAGTTATGCTTATTTTCATGACACATATGAAACAATACATCAAGTAATACAGATAAACACCATTCAGGACATATTTTGGAGTTTACCCAAACGAAGTAAACAGTAACAGGTTTGGGGGTAAAATATACAGCCGCTCGATATCTCACATTTTTTTTTTTTTTTTTTTGACATTTTTTGTATCACTCATAAACAAAAAAAATACAGAACTTAAGGGAATTAATACATTTTTTTCCGCTTAAAATGAGAAACCAGTGCGACGTAGTTTATTCTGCGAGACACAATCAGTTCTTTCTCTCTATACTGGCTATGTTTCCCCGAACAATGGCTTTAGTCATTCTTAGCCAGTCAGCGCGGGTACACTACGTGCATGCTGAATATGTACCTGCTTTATCAGTGCTCAGAGCAGCCATCGTATCCTGTCAGAACAAGCACGCATCTTCCAAATATTATGTGTATTTCTAAGCAATTCAACCTGAATATACATGATACTCGTAATAATTGGTAGTTAAATATGACGTAATACTTATAAAACATCCACGCGACAAAAACAGTGACAGGCATGAAACTGGGGATGTTAGACACGTTTTATAAATATATTTTTTTTAAATCAAAATGAATGACAGAATTCAAATTGACCAATCCGAAAACGACACCATCGCGAGTTCTAATTAATATTAATGAGTTGCTTCAACACCATCGAATCAGCAAGAACTTGATTTTTAAATAAGTTGGCAGTTGTCCTTTGAAGGGTTGCGCGCGCATTATGGGCGGGAAAGTGTGGAGCTCCCGGGCCAATTATTATTAAATATTTGAATTTGAATTTATTTGTATTTACACATTGTTATAAATATGTTCATAAAATAAAGTACAGGTGTCTGCCGTTCACTGTAAATGATGTATATGTATATAATTATTTATTAACTATTTTCCCTATTCTCCCTTACTGTTTGTATCTATGTGTAGGAAGCGGATGACGTCGACAATTCTCAAGAAATCGTAAAAAATTTACAGAGTCTGAAAGGTACCTCGAAGGAATCTTCAGAATCAGAGGAAGGATCAGGAGGTGGTTCAATCGAGGAAGAACAAGAATCTGAAAACGATGGAACTGATGATGAGTCTGACGAGAATACGCCCTCGTCAGAGTTGAGGGGGTTCACGGCAAAGGAAAAAAACACAGAATTGTTCGCCGATGAATCAGGTGATGACGATGCTCGAAGCGGAGAAGAAGATGGTGATGATGATGATGATGATGATGCTGACGAAAAGACAAATACTGTCCAGAGTGAAAGCGAAGAGGAAGGGTCAACCTCATTTGAAGACCTAAGTAAACCAGAGGAGATTGGAAATATTGAAAACGAGGTTCTTAAAGGAAATGAACATCCTGTGCCCACGGACACGAAGAACAATTTTTTCGCTAGCTTGATTGAAACTGATCACGAATTATTACAAAAAGATCACGACAAGTTGAATAAACTCTATAAAATGGTGAGTTAAGTATGATTAATTAGGAGTTGCAAATCCAAACACGACAAAACTTGCAGATGCGTAGGAGTGGTAGGCGTTATACAAGTCAAATAATTTATGGAGTCTGCGTACCGAAATTTCAGTGTCAAACTGAAATTGTCCAAGCGCCGGATATATGATGACATCGATTTCGATTAATTACATGTGTTTCGGGATTTGAATTACGTCACTTATTCAAGCGAAACATTATTTTCATGTACGTTTCCATGGAAACCATGTTCGTACATGTGTACACGACATGAATACATAAATCACCACATACTTTGTATTAAGACTTTCACATACATTTAAAATGTTTCAATTACTTAATGTCGCACTCGCTGCTTATCAAGCTTGAACTCCCATTACTTTTAAGTCATGTGTATATATTTAGTACAACGTTTAGTTCATATGTAGGTATATATTTAGTACAACGTTTAGTTCATATTTAGTGCGTTACGCGCGTGAGAGATAACATAACGTTCAATTCACATGTAGGTATATATTTAGTACTTCACGTGCGTGGGAGAAAACAACATTTAGTTCATATGTAGGTATATATTTAGTACTTCACGTGCGTGGGGAAAACAACGTTTAGTTCATATGTAGGTATATATTTAGTGCGTTACGCGCGTGAGAGATAACACAACGTTTAATTCATATGTAGGTATATATTTAGTACTTCACGTGCGTGGGGGAAAACAACGTTTAGTTCATATGTAGGTATATATTTAGTGCGTTACGCGCGTGAGAGATAACACAACGTTTAATTCATATGTAGGTATATATTTAGTACTTCACGTGCGTGGGGGAAAACAACGTTTAGTTCATATGTAGGTATATATTTAGTGCGTTACGCGCGTGAGAGATAACACAACGTTTAATTCATATGTAGGTATATATTTAGTACTTCACGTGCGTGGGGGAAAACAACGTTTAGTTCATATGTAGGTATATGTTTAGTGCGTTACGCGCGTGAGAGATAACACAACGTTTAATTCATATGTAGGTATATATTTAGTGTTTCACGTGCGTGGGGGAAAACAACATTTAATTTGTGTGAATCTTCATTTTGTAATAGGTTATTTCGCTATTTGCTGACAAAAATGACCAATATACAATACAGAAAAGAATATACGAAGACTTTTGTAAGTATCATATTTTAATTCTTATCAAGTACTAATCAATCTTCTTGGTCACAAATGGTCATATGATCTATAAATATTGGTTTCGGCCAATAACAGCCACTGGGGACGATTACTCAAGATATTGGCATTAATATTGGCTTGCAATTTGAGAAGTAATCAAGTTGCCAATTTGAAATTCGTCAGTGTCTATTAGCTCGTTAAGATGAAATGATTTAGGTCGTACTGTTAAATACACAATGTAATGCAATGTAATGTAATGTAATGTAATGTAATGTAATGTAATGTAATGTAGGATAACCGAAGAGATACTAAATCGACGTCCTTTGGAATTAATGCATCGCCGCTTTGGTAAAAATCTTTGATAGTCACGGTCTCGTGCTGGTCTCAATACCGTTTGTATTTCGTGATTTTACTATTGTTTTGTTAACTGACATTGATCACTGTTATATTTCAATCAAACAGCTAGCGAGGAGAAGACATCGTACGAACTACCAAGTAAGTTTATTAAATTGTTTGAATATATTGATATTTAAAATGCCGTCAAATAATTTACAAAAAAATACAGATAATGTAAATGACGTGTTCAGTACATTGATATATCTAAAATACTATTAGTTTTTGTTATAATTTCACATCTGACACAAATATTGTATCAAATAATTCTTATCCGCTAATGGATGAAGCGATGTCGTTGAGGGCGCAATTTGTGTTCCATTCTCCACCACCATCGGCAAACTGCAGAACAAGTCTCGCGGTTCCAAACGAGATCTTGGTAGCCATTTTTGAGAATAAGATCCATTCTCAAAAGTCCAGGCAGTAAAGCTCAACATACGACAGCCATTTGCATATTTAGGACTCATATAATAGGGCTAAGTGTCAACAATTAATATCTAGGACGTATTCAATTCTCAGTCAAGATTTCCTAATCTACAAAATGTTACCTCAATTTACCTTTCTCATTTTAAGAAGAAGAAGAAGACGAAGACGAAGATGGGAGTAGTGATGACGACGAGAACGCATCCTTAGACAATCACAGTGAAGAAGACGAAGACGAAACGGTAGCCGGAGAAATTAACAGCGATGCGTGAGTTTTATTAATGCAGTTTTCTGATTACGACTCTTGAGTAGTACAAATGTCGAAACTAAGTCAATTGAATTAACGTTGAGATACATAACAGTTGCATTCGGCGGGAAATTGTTCGGATATAATGAATGCAAAATAGCAATCTTGGATTCTCTTAGAGGCAAAGAACTGGAATATAATGAACACCGCGAATCGGATTCCTCCCCGGCGCTACTTGGAAAATTAAAGTTTCACATCAGAAAGCGAACAAATTTAAACCGAGATCTAAACTCATAAATTAATTCCCAAAGACATATCGTAGCATGTCTTTTCACTTTTTCGCAGGGCACAGTCGTTCTTCCTTTTCAGGCAGTCTAAAACAGAGTAGTTGCACTCGTGGGTATTCATCCTTCTGATATCCGTGTATTTTTAAGGCAGAGCACGTTTCGTAGTCTCCTTCGGGTCATCGCGCATCAAATCCACAGCAGCCTACTCAATATGTCTCCGATAAAAGAACCCTAAAATAGAAGGTTAGATGTAACACACGCCCATTTGAGTTATTGACAAATACGTACATGTGAAGAATTGTTAAAATTAAAAGGCATTCTTCCAGAGATTGACATTATCTATATCTGTTTATGTTTATGTGTAAATCCCGATGTCGGTTTCGGTATTGCTCCACAACACACCCTATGACACAGAATCGGCGTTGCGCAAATTCCTATGAAGGACTGCAATCTAGTGGTCCGCTTTAATTGGCGTTATGATTAAACCGATGTTCAGACACCTTGCTCGCTTGTAGCTGGAAGTTTCCGTATTGTGATACAACAAGATTGAAACATCTGTCACCAGTTTCGCGGACAGTTTTTCACATTGTTATGATTTTTGAAGGAACAACAATTATTTGCACGTGACACAAAATGGCGAATGACGTGGCTTCTTTAAACGTATCCCTCTGACTGGTTTAGACAGATAAACATGAAACGAACTTTGCGATCACAAACATACACAAATAATGAAAATCTTCGCCAAATTGAAAAAAAGAATTACAATTAGCAATAATTACTACACGCTCCATAAGGCACCATATAATTTGCATTATTGCCATGATCATTCAATCACTGCCATGTCTCATAAGGTACACACTATAATTAGCAATATTAAATATGCATGACATTTAGAAGAGCACATTAAGCGATGACGTAGCTTACTAATTACTGAATACGCTCTAAACTAATTATGTTTACTCGAAACGACTTTTTAGAATATGGCGTCGATTTAAATGTCAACGATACTGAATAATCCATAGATAACACTTGACTAATGTGCACAGGCTATTTGGGGTTTTATACATTGTTAAAGGGTGGCAGTCGTCGCGCTGCGCATGTGCGACATTTGTGTTGATAAACATTTATTTCCCCACAATCCAATGCGCTCTTCTAATGGAAATCACAAGTATGAGGTTTGACCTGGGCGCGACTTGCACTAATTACTGCCGGTGACTCTTTCGATACCCTCAAATCACGTAAAAATGCATAATTAAAGTTTAATAACGTCTCAGTTTGTACTCTGCGCAACTGTCAAAGTCGCCATGTTTGTTTATAAGAGACCCATATATCCCGGGCATGCTGGGCGCGACGACTACCGCCCCTTAACTAAAATTGAACTTAGAAAGCAATAATATCGCTGAGTGGATCATTCGTTTCAACGATGACACTCTCCAGCCCATATTTATTGCACAAAACTAAAAAAACAACAACATGTAGATATGTGATAATTTTATAGTATATGTCCCTCTACTAGTATTGAGAATAGTGTATTTGCTCTATGAGGAACGGGTGTGCTTTTAGAACAAGTCGCATATGATTGTCCACCATTCAGTGAATGCAATTGTTAGATTTATTTGCGTTTCTATTAGAACAAATACGGAATAAACATTATGTATGCTGTGTTGTGTTTACACGATTAGTTCGGCTCGGCAGTGCCTTGTTCACAACTGACGTCGTAATTTTGGTACACTGGTGCACGCCATATTTTGGTGGTTCAGTATATGGCTACGTTTTAAGCAAAAAATATCAATATTCTCCTAGTGAGAGGGCTATGAGTATTTATTTATAAAAAAGCAATAAATAATAGTTTGAAGATGTTCTCAAAGACACAACAGCTGTCATCAAGGACATATAATTTACATACTAGATCATTTTCTGTTCACTGCGAGATCCCGCGTTATGCGTGAAATCGAACGCTTCGCAGTGGCATAAACAAATTTCATGATGGTCATTTTTGTTGAAGTAAGGTTGTTTCAAATCGTATTCCTCTCAGAAAAATTGGCATTTCGGCATTGACCTATAAAACCTGCAATTCAAGTTCAAAATCAAATCATTCGAATTTTGCGACAGACGTTCGGTCTGCACCCTTCACACAATATGCAAGATCTCGCAGTGAACGGAAAAGAATCTATCTAGGTTTTTAAAAACACATTTAGTTGTTTTAATATTTTACTGTATGACAACTCACTTTATGTTCCCAGATCTGAGGAAACGTATGGCAGACCCTCAAGCGAGGTGCAGGAGACTTCGGATGAAGGAGAAAAAGATGAAGACAACACAGATGATGAGGAAAAGAATGATGATGGCGCTGAAGATGATAATAAGGTTGATGAAGTTATTGATGCTGATGATGAAGTTGATAATGAGGATGATAGTGATGATGTTGATAAAGAAGATACTGACAATGATGGTGATGAGGTTGATAATGAAGATGATAGTGATGAGGTTGAAAATGAGGATGATGACGATGATAGTGATGAGGTTGATAATGATACTGACGATAATGATGAAGAAGAAGATTCGGATGAAGGTGATACAGAGGATGGGGACCTGGCAAAGGAGTTGGCAATGGTTGATTTGATCAATGCAGAAAAGGCACTTGGCGGTGAGCATAAATAACATTCCAACAAATATTTATTCACTGAAAAACCACTAAGCAATAACAAGTAACCTGTAGAATACTGTGTGGGTAATATTTTTTATATTGATTTTTGTTGCATTTGCAGCAAATAGTTACCAAACAATGAGAAATCTATAGGATTGAATATACCCCACAGCTGGCTTCACATGCATTGTTCATAGTTCATATGGTGCTTACACCAGGATTTAATTACAGCACCTAGGCGGTATGTGGTTACAGCTTAATGTTCGAGTAATCGCAAGAAATTGACATGACAATAGAAATTCATTAAAGACTGCCACTCCCATGCAATTAACGAGTGAAATTCCAGGGATTGAAACATATATTTTGAAGTCACTGATGTAGGCAACGAATAACTGCAAGTTGACATAAAGACGAGGTAGTTTATTTAATCAGTGGTCAACTAGAGGCTGAAATTATAATTAATTTGTTTATTTCAATTTCTCCTGACGTCAAATAGAATACACTGGTGAAACACGGTAGTAACTGTGGGTGAAAGGATGTTTTGGGGTGTAGTTTACATTGTATATGGAGTGGTAGGGTCGGGTGTAATGTGTTCATTTCCAACTATTATGAAGTCACGTAGAATTTCACTTAATTTATTTTTGCTGACATGTTTTCAAGCATTACATGTGAATCTAATTTTCACTGCGCTGTGTCTCAATATAGTATGAGGGAAATGGCATATTCACTGGAATTTATTTCAGGGGAAAAATGTTTTCAGTGATAATGAAGTATTATGACAGATACCCTCCCCGTGGCTTTCATTGCGTATGGAAGTTATTTTCACGAGTGATGCGGTGTATCCTGCTGCCGTACTTTCACGAGCGAAGCCACGGGGAGGGTGTGGGGTTCTGT